TATTGAATTTATTTTACAATGAATCCATTAACAAAAAAATATATACTCCCTCTGTCCCATTTTATGTGGCAACATTTCCTTTTTGGTCAGTCCCAAAAAGAATGTCACATTTCCTTATATGGAAAGTATTTAAAGGTACAATTCCTTTTTTATCCTTGTTGGTCCCACTTAATCTTAAAATAATACTCCAATACATTTATGAGGAGAGAGAAATTGAGTCTACTTTTTAAAAGGGCAATTTGGTAAACATTTCAAAGTCTTTATTTATTTCTTAAACTCCGTGCCCGGTCAAATGTTGCCACATAAAATGGGACGGAGGGAGTATATTACAATGAATCATACATATACAGTGTACTATTAGACAATTTATTTCTATATGAATTCAATAACTATGACACATAATTTATTTCTCAAAAATACTTTAAATTAATTATTAATCTATTGATTAATTAAATAAGGTTTTATTGTACTTTCAAAAGTAAAAGACATAAATAGCAGATAAGATGAAATTAAAAACATATTTATTTATTATGTTGAAGAATAAATATCAATGTATTTTAAGAAGAAGAATTAAATATCCGTCAAAATAGGGCAATTAGTTAAAATTGAAGTTCAAAATCAGCCCTAGCATAGCATCAATGGTGTTCTACAAAAGCCATGAGAGTTGATAATTTGTACTCAATAGTTGAGATTTTTTTTCCTTCAGTATAAGCAGGAAGAAGCGTGCTGTGCAAGGCAAAGTGTTTTTGAGTGAGCAGCTTCTCTACAACCACCCGGGGGCCCTCTTCCACCTCCTTCCTCATCGGTTCAATCGAATAATCTGCAGAATTCTTCTGATCAAATCAGTATATAACAGAGGTCAGAGTGGAAGAGGCTTTTTTGTTGTTGAATGGGAATATTATAGGAGTGATGAGGAAGTCTTTTAAAGATTCACTCAAAGCACTTGAAACTGATATTCAGCATGCTAATACTCTGTATGTTTTCTATATTCTTCCCCTTTTTGTATTTGCCTAGTACCACAATTTTTTATTTTTTTTCGTATAATCAAACTATCGGTACAGATATGTGTTAATTTGATCATTAATCGGTGATTTTACATCAAAGACGTTATTTTTTTTCTATCTGTTTTAGCTTCGATGGACGACGGAGTTATCTGGTAAATTTGGGATTTTTATTTCTTTGAATTTATTGTTTCAAGCTAATAGAATTTCTGTGAAGTTAAAACCCTTAATTTGGAAATTTAGTGTTAATTTGCCTAATTATTGAGTGATTCTCTGTACTTTCTTCTTTGTGATAATTAAGCTCGTTCTTTTGTTTTTTCTTAAAAAAAAAAATTATAACCGTGGTGTTGGTGGGCTAAGTTTGCGTTTTCGCGCTCCTCTGTTACGGGATTATGTGCCAAGAAATTTCCTAGTGCTTTTTTTTTTTTTTTGCTGTCTGTGTTGTTATTTGTATTTGAGACCTCGTGGTTCTCGATTCACTTCATTGACTAGACCATACCTTTGGTGCTTATTTTTCCTAGTTTTGGAAAATCAGGATTGACTGTAAGCTGGAGTATGGAGAAGACGTTCCTGCTGCTTGAATGTTCTGTTGATATATTTGATTCTTATGATTCATTTATCCTTTGTAATAGTGGTATTTAACCTATTAGCTGATATGTTCTGCAAACTAGAATTCCAGGCAAAAACATTTTGTATTTTGAGAATCCTTGTCCTCTGTATTGAGCTATACTGTGTGAATGAGTGGATACCTCACAAGTACCTTGTGTATGGAGCTGGGGTGGGGGCACCGGAAAATCGCACTGTAATACAAGACATTTTTTTTTAATGTCTATAAAGTAGATGATGAAAATCCGTTACTTGGAAATTCTGCCTCCACTACTGGTTTCCCCCTCCCCTGAAAATAAGAAATTTGTACCCTTTTTGTGTGAATGTTTGAAGCATTTTGTGTGGTATGTTTGGACATGACTGATTTTTTTGAGATATACAGGGCTTCGGATTATCCAAGAGAATATGATGGTGCTAGCCTTCAGATGAGACTATCGTACAGTCCCTGTGCTCATATATTTCTGTTTCTTGTTCAGTGGACTGACTGTCACTTTGCTGGTGCTCTAGGATTGCTTAGGATCCATATTTATAAGGTAATTTTTCCCATTTTTCTTGTTGCGTCTGTCTTTCAGCTTTCTTGGTATGAAAGTTTCCATATGATGTCTATTGCAGGCTTATGAGGATGGTAAGACAAGCATGTATATTCATGAGAGAAAAGCTAGTATAAAACAGTTCTATGGTGCGTCAACTTGGATGTTCTTATTTAGTCTCCTCAAATTACGTTGTACGGCATTTCAATTTCTTTTGTTTCTTATAAGTATGGTGTTCATTGAGTTGTGTTGTCATTGAACAGGGGTGATATTTCCCTCTTTGTTGCAACTTCAAAGGGGAATCACTGACATTGATGATAGGAAGCAACGAGAGATATGTGCAACCAAATACAGAAGAGGTGATGAGACAAGCAAAGGTAAGCTGTCTGAAATCGAAATAGAGAGAGAGGAGGAATGCGGTATCTGCATGGAAATGAATACAAAGGTTGTGTTACCCTCCTGCAATCACTCTTTATGCATGAAGTGTTATAGAAATTGGTGAGCCAACTTCTCTAATCTGTTAGATTTCCCACCTTTCTGTTACTTCGTGCATACTATATTTAGTTTAGTAAATGGTATACTTAAACAATCTTTGTTCCTCTGGTCCTTTTTGACTATGCGTGTAGCTAACACCCTGCATACAATATTATGTACGCTGAGGGAGAAACTAAAAATAAAAATTAATTGTTCAGGAAGCTTTTGGGTTCTGAGTTGGTGACAACTGCCAGATCATTGCATAATTTCTTTTTTGATTGAGTGTGTGGATTGAATTTACTTTGATATACCTGTCTTTAATGATGGACACATATAGAGTATGCAGATGCTCACAAATTTTATCACCCATAAGATTTTGTGGTCCAGCAATGCATTTGAAGGAATTGTCTTTTGGCTTAAAATAACGGAAGTCCTACTTTAAGCCAGGGCGGAGCTGAAGGGACTTCATCTTAAACCCCTTCGCCCGAAAATCACACTATATATATAAAGCCAACTTTTTTTTTTGTACATATAGTAGATAATGAACTCTCTTGGTGAGAATCTTGCCTCCGCCACTGCTTTGAGCAGCAGTTTGGACAAGTAATGAAAGATTTTACATATTCTCTTGGTTAAATATCACATGGCTTGTTACCTTCTGGGCGACTTTTATCCTAAATTCTGCTAGTATGTAGATAAAATTGGTGAAGCATCTCTTGAAAACTTTCTCGGTGAGCCAGTGTTCTGTTGATTTGGATTCTAGGGTGATTCTGGTAAGGTTGATTTTCTTGCGGTGACAAGTCTTAATCTAATCTGTGAAGAGAATTTATGCTTGATTGGTCTCTGAAAGGTCTTCTGCTTAGTGCTTTTTATCAGGGGTTTCAGAGGGAAAAAACACGGGAGAATACTTGTTATGCTCTCATAATAGGACCCGTGCTTATGCAAATAATAGTTATCCTATTTTTTTGTGTTCTTTATTAGCTTATCTTCTACTTGAATAATTTATCAGTGTTACATGGTTGCTGTAGGCGTGCCCGATCTCAGTCATGCCCTTTCTGTCGAGATAGTCTCAAAAGGGTGGATTCCGGAGAGCTTTGGATATACACCAACATATGTGACATCAAAGACTTGTCCACAATAACGAGGGAAAATATGAAGAGGCTTCTCATGTACATCGATAAATTGCCTGTTGTCTATCCAGATCCAGCACTTGTCTCTTATCATCGTAATTATTGATAAAGATTACTTAGGTTAGGTAGGCAGTACATACCAGGCATTCTGTTTGTATATGATTTTTTTCGAACATGCACATATGTACAGTTTTCTGGGTCATTACCAGCAAATGTATTGATATGTAATTGATTGCACCATATTTTTCATTCTTAAAGAAGCATTTCATACTTGTCTTTTTCGTCTTTCTAGTTTGTTTCATGGCTATCTAGTTTTATGTTCAATTGATACAACACAAGACACTTCTCTTGGTATTTTCAACATTTCCATGAATGATAGCAGTCTGACCAATGGTGTCAACTTTAACTCTGAACTAGGTAAGAATCATAGTTCAGACAGGCTATCAAGAGTAAGAAGACAGCAGCAGCTATACTTTACGTATGAAGGAGAAGTCAATCCATCCAATGGTAACTGGTGATGGCTAGCAGTGGTGGTTGGTGGTGGTGAATTGTGATGGCTAGCAATGGAGGTTGTGAATACTGATTGGGGATGATGTTGGCTAATGGTTAGATGTGGCTAGTAGCTAGTGGTGATGGTGTGATTGACGAGGTTGATGGTGATAGTTGTTGTTGGTTGATAGTTGTGATGGATGATGGTGATAGCTAATGATAGTGGTTGCCGAATAGAAAAGATTACTTTTAAGTTCAAGAACGTGGTCAAGACATACTATTTTGGATAATATCTCATCAAATGGGACAGACATATTTAATATGAACTTGACTGGTATGTATTGAAAGAACACTTCCAAAAATATGTTTAGTAGGTCCTTTTTGAAATGTTCAATATTGGTAGGCTATATTGTATCAGGAGTACTTAATTTAGTATGTCGACTGAATTGAAAAAGAAAGAAACAAAAATAGACTTCATTCAATTCTCTGTAGGGAATGACTAATTAATATGTTGCTATGACTATTTATTTAATTTTGTTAGGAGTAAACATCTTTGTAACAAGAATGCATAGCATACTATTAGCTTTCTAATGTAAAACTAAAGTTGGGAATAAAATGTAAGATATTTAGTCATTATTCAGCAGATTTGCTTATAAGATTATGTACTGTTCTTGCCTGTTTGAATCAAAACAACTTAGATCTGTTTACAAACTTCGATACGCTAACAAGGCTTTAATATAAGAAACATGAAACATAAACAGTAATTCATATTATCATCTACTTGTAAGGAAGGATTCCCGGATTGCTTGAAGTTTGCTCAAAATAGTGTCTATTGGTGCTCTATCTCTTGATGATGATGCAGAGCATGTAAGCCCGATTTCCAAAACCGAGTGTAAACATTCTTCCACTCTTCTTGCTTGATCTTGATTGATGTTTTGCTCTTCCTCTGCCAAGAGCAATAAGGGATCTACTATCTCCATGACATGTTCAGGCAAAGCTGTTGAAACATACTTGTGAATGTTTAGACTCTCGTTGAAAATTGCATCAGTTGGCCTTTTACAGATGAACAACTCTAGCAACACTATTCCAAAGCTGTAAACATCTCCAAGTGTGGATGGTTGGCTGCCTGATCCGTACTCTGCAAGGTACTAAATCAATTTTCTGCAGAATGATATATGACTGAATATAAAATGTAAACTAGTGACATCGTTGTACCTGTTGGGATGTAACCTATAGAACCCTTTAGTGCTGCAGAAATCTGATGACTCCAAGAATTGCTTGATGTGTCAAGGAGAAATGTTGCTAATCCAAAGTCACCAACATGGGCAGACATATCTTCATCGAGGAGTATGTTGCTTGGTTTTAGATCACAATGGACTATCGGTGTTTGACAGTGGTTGTGGAGATAGTCGAGTGCAGAAGCAACATCTATGGCAATGTTTAGCCTTTGGATGAAGGTCAGCTTCTTTGTTTGGTGTTGCTGGTCATCATTTTCTGGATGCAACCAATCGTGTAGGTTTCCGTTAGTCATGAACTCAAAAACTAGGCATTTGAAGTCATTACCTTGGTGATCAATGCTTGAACAAGCAGTCTTGATTTTGAGAAGATTACGATGCCTTATATTTCTCAAAGCTCTGCATTCATCCAAGAAGCTCTTCAAGGCCCCTCTTTGTAGTAAGTTCAATACTTTCACTGCCATTATTGTTTCCTCACCATGGAAATGCGCTTTATATACTGAACCAAAACTTCCTGTACCTACCAAGTTATCCTCAGAGAAACCATCCGTTGCTCTAAGTATTTCTCGATATGTAGTTCTTGGTATCTGGGCTAGCTGTTCGATCCAAGGGTGTGCCTTTCTTGAGTTTCTGAGCCTGTAATAAGCACCACAACAACATAGCACCAAAGCTAAGAGTGCAACAGGAACACTAACATATATCCACACTCTTGAATTAAGGTGCTTCGGAGCATTCAGGCAAATGCAAGTCGGAAACACCTCCACAAAGCTTCCTGTTTCCTTTGATTGAAATTGCACTTGTATTGGAAAAAACCCCTTCATTTGGCACCTCACCTTTAAATTCATTGAATGAAAGGTCCAGTTTTCTGAGATATGAAAGTTTCCCAAGAAACTCCGGTATTTCCCCTGACAAGTTGTTCCGCGAAAAATTTACCTCTTCCAATCCTTTTAAACTTGTAAAGGATTGAGGAATGGTTCCTTGTAAGAGATTATTACTAATATATACTCTCTCTAAGTGGAGGCAATTGCTGAGGGTGCTTGAAATCTCACCAGATAACTTGTTCTGTGATAAATCCAATTCCTCGAGATTTATCAACTGATCAAGTTCTTTTGGCAAGGATCCAGTCAAAGAATTACTTCCCAATGATAAAGAAATTGAAAGGGAAGATAATCCTGCAACCTCTTTCGGTATGGAGCCAACGAGATTATTCCTAGTAAGGTTTAATGTTGACAAGACCTTACACTTCCCCAACTCCGGAGGTATGCTTCCTTCTAGTCTATTTTCGTCCAGATTTAGAGTATTTAACAATGACAAGTTACCAATAGAGGATGGTATCTTCCCAGAAAATGCATTTCCGTTCAAATAGAGACGTTCAAGATATTCAAGCTTACCTATAGATTCAGGCACACTCCCATTGAGGTAGTTTCCGTCCATTCCTAGTAGCATCAAACTAATAAGGTTGTCTATTCCAGCTGGAAGAGTACCATGCAGCCTATTGTGACCTAGAGAGAAAATCTCAAGTACAGTTGAAAGATTAGTGATTGAGTAAGGCAATTCTCCCCTAAAGTTATTGGTTGCGAAACTCATTACCATCAGATGTGTACAATTGGTTAAGGAATCAAGAAATCTCAAACCCTCATAACTTCCCCTCCCGCCTAGTCTATTCGCCTCAAAGTTAAGCCTAACCAACATTTCCAACTTTCCAAAACTAGTTGGCACATCCCCAGTAAGTTTATTTTGGGAAAAATCAATCACGCGAAGCTTAGAAGCATTCGCCAATGAAACAGGAATAGGTCCGGTGAAACTGTTGACAGCGCCAGAAAATGCTTCAAGGTTTGGAAGAGTGAGGCCTACATCTGCTGGAAGTTGTCCATGCAGTAGATTTTGTGTAACAGAGAAATAGTATATGGAAGAAAGATTGAAAATCGATGAAGGGATTGTACCAGATAATTCGTTAGAGTTCACATGAAACACTAACAACTTCGTTAGACGCCCAAGATCCTCAGGTATTGGTCCTTGTAGACTATTACCCGAAATGTCAAGGAACTCTAAAGACGAAAAGTTTCCTAACCAACGCGGGATGCCTCCTTCAAGTGAGTTCCTTTTCAGTTTAAACAAATACAGCTTTGACAATGAACTTAGTTGATCCACAATTTTCCCAACAAGTTCATTAGATTGTAGATGAAGTACTCTAAGTTCCTTACAGTAAGTTAAATTAGTAGGAATTTTTCCACTAAAATAATTGTAACTAGCATTTAAATGTTGCAGCTGCAACAGGCGGCCTATTGCTTGAGGAATTTCACCGCGGAAACTATTGTTTCCAAGATCAATACCTGTAAGGAAACTGAGATTACCAATGGAAGACGGTATGGTGCCAGCAAGTTGTTGCGAACTCAAATCAAGAAACGTAACTCTGCCATTTTCAGGACTACATGTTACACCAGTCCAGTTGCAGAAATGGGAAGAGTGCTCATTCCAAGAAGCCATGACATGAAGTGGATCCTCTGTTATTCTGCTTTTCAAGTCTTGTAGTGCTAATTGATCAGTCGATTTGAGACCTGAGATTGCAATGGACATCATAATAATTGAGTACTGGAAATATAACAACAAAAGCCACATGGAATTGGATTTTAGATACAACTGCCTCATTTGTGCTGGATTTTTTAGAAACTAGCTAGTTGCTGTTTTATGCTTGTAAGAAGAAAGAATGTAAACTTTCCTTTTCTTATAATAATCTGAATCATGCAATAATTTTCAGGGCTCTTTCAAGTTCCAACTAACATGTATAAATGCTAATAAATGCAAATTTGTTGGATAGACTGAGAGTGACAAAACCTTTTTACCAATTGGCTTGTTGCATATTGTTGTGCCAGTCAAGTTTTCATGAATGATCTAATTTTAGCACAAAACTAACGTCATATTTTTTGAAATTTTTTCATATGACAGCTTCCCTTTCATGTATGAGATCAACATGTCCCTTGTTTACTGAACAAAATAACGACTAGGTGAGAACTCTGAGGTGTCAGGTTCAAAACTCAATATAGATTAAAAAAAATATTAGGTGATTCTTGTAATAATCTGTCCTAGCCTTAGTGGACAGAATTAGTTGGTACTTGTTGTTGAAGGGAGATGATAGGTGGCAAGTATCCCGTGATCAGTGGCATAGCCACATGGTGGTCAGGGTGTCCAATTGGACACCATTCGTCGGAAAAAAATATCGTATATACAAGTAAAATGATACACGAAATGATTAAATAACATATTTTGGACACCTTTAACATAACAAGTTGTTATAGCCTAGTGGTTTCACCTCCTTGGCATGAGGAAGTGCTCGTGTGTTATCTCACTAGTTCAAGAGCTTTTGTTGTGCTATTCATGGACACCCTTTGTGAAATTTCTGGCTCCGTCACTGCCTGTGATATTAGTTGAGGTGTGCGAAAGTTGGCCCAAATACCACGGTCATAGAAAAAAATAAAAATAATGACTAGCATCACCTCAAGGGTATGACCTAGTGGTGAATAAAATGTTGAGAACTATGAGGTCTCTCGAGTTTATATTCCAGCAGAGACAAAATCACTAGGTGATTCTTCTCGTCTGTTCTAGCCTTGGTGGATAGATTACCTGGTACCAGTTACTGGTGGAAGGTGGCAGATATCCCATGGAATTAGTCAAGGTGGGCGAAGACGTGCCCAGACACCACGATCAGCAACATACCACGTGTAATCACACAAGTAAGTTAGCATAAAAAAAATAATGAAACAATAATAGAGTTTGTTCTTCTAGGTAGATAATGACTACTCTGTGAGTTTTAATCGGTTTATCTTACTTATTTTTTAGTCTGTTTCAAACGAATGTCTTTTCCTTTATGACAACTTTTCAAGTTTTAACTTTCCGCATGATATGTTTAAAACCACAAGTTTAAAAGAAATTTTGGTACTTTCTACCTATTTTTAGTTTAAGATCACAAGATTCATTTATCTTCTCTAAAACCAGACAAACGAATTAAAACGGTGGAAGTATTAAATATGGGAATAATACATTAAACCATGTCAGTCATAATTGAAACATGAAAGATAAAGTTGATGTTTCATGCTCAAAATACTAGCCTGAATAAGTTACTAGTTGCTGTTTCTTGCTTGTAAGAAGAGATAACATAAGCTTTCATTTTCTAATAATCTGAATCATGATACAATTATTTTCAAGACTCTTCCAAGTTCCAACTAATATGTATAAATGCTAATAAATGCAAAATTTGTTTGAGAGTGACCAAATATTTTACCAATTGGCTTGTTGCATAGAGTTGTGCCTGTCAAGTTTAATTTATGAAGGGGCTAATTTTAGCACTAAACTAATTAACGTCATGTTTTTTGAAAAAAATTTCATATGATCAACATTTCTCTTCCCACCTAGTGATGTGGTGGAACGGATGCTTCTCCCTTAATCAGAGGTCTCGGATTCGAGTTTTGAGTATATTTTTCTTTAATAGGGAGCACTTCCCTCAAATGGCGTTCTATGTGGTGCATATCCAGAATAGTAGGACTCCAATGTGGATAGCCGGATACTGACCACCAGATAGAAAAAAACATTTCTGTTGTTTATGGAACAAAACAACGACTAGGGATGGCAATGGGACGGGGTGGGGCGGGTTTTCTCTTATGCGGGGGTGGGGCGGAGCTGCCTTTATGTGGGTGTAGGGCGGGGCAGGTTGAATTAGTTTTTGAGGGATTTCATGCGGGTGTGGGTTAGTTCTACTTTTCATTTGAAGAACTACTTGTACTAAACGTGAACAATTTGAATATGCTAGAAGACATGTCGACAGTACCCTTTTAAAAAAAAATCTCTAATAATATTCATAACTCTATTTTATAATCACTGAAATGGAATCACTTTTTGGTCTCCAATTTAATTGTTCCTGTTTTGGACTTTTGCCATTCTTATATATAAGTTGGTGATATAGTGCGGTACTGTATATAACATATTTATTACATATTAGTAAAATTATTCAATCGTATGCTACTGTGTCATAATCTTTGAAAATATTTCAATAAAATAAATACTATGTGTTGATTTTTAATTTGATGAATTTTATTAATTGTGTCACTAAGTTTTTTTCTTTAAAATGTTATTTTGGGGCGGAGCAGGGTGGGTCTATATAGGGCGGAGCGGGGCGGGCTGAAAACATAACATTTTGCTAAGCGGGGAGGGGCGGGGTGGGCGGTTTGAATCTTCGCGGGTTTATACGGGTTTGCCCTGCAACCGCCCCACCCCGCTCCATTGCCATCCCTAACAACGGCTAGCAGCACCAGGCAATTTCCTTTTCGTACTAAAATAGTTGATAGTTTAATATCTCATGATACAAAGTAAAATATACAATAACAAACTCAGTAATCATAGAAGTGAGTTTAGCACAAAATAAAATACTAAACATAT